ACCTCCAAACACATCAACGTTGTTATCAACCCAGGGTATGATGTTGCCAGGCATGTTGGTAGAGCAGTTAGCAATATTCATGATGTCTTCAGCTTTTAAGACCCTGTCCCATATATTGAACTGGCTCATCTCCCCAACGAAGGCTTGAGTTGCATCAAATCTTCCTCCTACTGTGTCCTTTAGGCACACAAGAGTTAGGATTAGATGAGAAGATCATTTCAGCATTTTTGTTTTTCTTCAAACTTGAAGACCCTCCCCCCCCAGCCACACTGCTAGAAGGAGGTGCAGAGCTAGGTCAGAGAAGAACAACTTCAAGTTTCTAGAAGGGCTACTTTGAACAAGATGTTCTATGGAACTGTTAAAAGCTCCACTGTGAAACATGTCAAAACAAGTCAAGGCAAACAGTAGTGACTGCACACCATCACGCACAAGGCTATACACAACCAACTCTGCCCCAAGCAGCAGAGCAGGAAGGCAGCTTTAAATAGCAAAGCTAATTTGGGAGCCCTTTTGCAACTTGGCACAGGACAACTTCAGCAACAACTGCAGAGATGCGTAAGATCACTCCAAAAGCTGTACGGCTGTAGATTAAACGGTAACTGCAGCCCTTGACCAATTGTCTGCAGGGTCCATAAGATGGGATCTTCGCATCTAAATACATGGGCTTCTGCTAGTTGTATCAAACGACTAACTCCAACTGCCATTGCACAAGTCTAAAAGCATTTGTTTGCCAAACGACTAACTCCAACTGGGAAAACACATTTTGTGTGATCACAGCAACACGAAACTGACAGCATAGGATAGAACCAAGCACAGGCAAACGGCACGAGAGAGTTACAGAAAAGCTGCCAGCCACTTAATACTGAGCTGGAGCATCTGCTATGCAGAGTGTATTAGGATTCTGAATTTACCACTCTGCCATGGATAAGTATTTACTAAAATCAGCATCAGGACAAAACTGATTTTTCACTGCCTTGCCCTGCTGTGAACCTGAGAATCCTGGAGAAAGGCTATTTCCTGCTACTCATTACAAATATTTTTTTTTTTAGTGTATGTATAGCCATACAAAGAACAGGTAGGGAAAAAATGTGAAGATAAGAGCCACACAATTGATAGGTAATAGCTTAATGAGATGTTAACTAGATGAGTGAGATTCAAAATCCTTTTTTTTTCTTCAATATTCAAGAAGGACTTATCCTTAATCTCATGAATGGTTTCTGTTGGCAGCACTAATATTCAAACCTTATTAGCATTTACATTAGGAGAGTTATTTACCTACATCTTTAATGAGAAACCAAATGTCTGATTTAGAGTTCATCCCTTTGACTTCAGACTCATCTCTAAAGTAGACATCAAATTCTGAATGACTGACAGACTCCATTATTCTAAAATGTGTTACATACCTGAAAAGCTGCAGAATTCAATCTGGAGGGAGTGCTCTGCAGCCACCCAAATTATAAAAGATCCTGATATACCCACAAGCACTCCAGTGCCCATAGTTGTTGGTCCCCTCATCTCTATATATACACACTTTCCCTGGTCTATTCCAGGGCTCAAGGACTAACATTCTTACTATTCTCAAGATAAAGAGCAAAGGGCAGTGGAAAACCAGAAAATTAATAAGGAAGACAGTCAATTTGGCTTCAGTTAAAAAAAAACGTAAAAGAAATGAAAGCAATTATACTTGGTCTGTTTTCCTCAAGCTCCTTTTTGACTGCTCATACAACAGCACTGGCCAATTCTGTCCTTTTCTGTAACTTCAGCAGCCACATTGCTAGTTACCAGCAATCCAGCTCAAGGGATTTAGTTTAAGGCATCATTCGGATCACTGGCAAAGTTGCACACTGTAGCATTAAGAGCGCGAATAGGAATAGCTGCAACATGAACGCTTTGAATATTTAATAAATGAAACAAATATACCAATGTGTGATTGCATTAAGTATTTGTTGCTTTGTTTTAATCTTGCTGATACTGTGTATACAACAGGACCAAGTGTTTAACAAAGAAATTTTCTCACAGCTGCTGTTTGTTTGAGGAGCTTTTATCTTATTTTTTTTAAAACCCTGGAACCCCCTGTCATTCACTCACCTGTTCCTGACCCAGGATCAACACACCTCCAGGTTTAATTGGGTGCCAAGGAGCAAGATTCTCCCCAGTGCCAAGCTTCTCTCCATCCTGAAAAGCCTCCCACATTCCATCTCTGGTTGTCCATGTTATACAGATATGATGCCATTTTCCATCACTAACAAAGAGAGGGAGCTGGGCAACCTGCAAAGAATACAGAATAATGCGTGTTGCAAACCAAGTCTACCAGTTCAAGCACAACATTCAAAAAGGGATAGTATTTACTCTGTCCTCAGAAGCAAAAACTTGAGAGGCAGAAGTTAGTCTACACCCTTCTACTTTGTCCCAGCTCCCCTGCATTCAGGGACACAGCCATGCTTTTTATTCTAGATGTGAGCCTCTGTTTTGTACAGAATCAAGTGACACAAGGACCAGAGTATAAGCTGCTATAAATCCACTGATCCTGCATATTAATCTGTGGCATTTGTTGTTTAAATCTCAGTGCTTCGTCCTAACTTTCCATCCAGTGCTCAGGTTACGTTTCTCAAAATCTGAGGTTTGTCTGCACCATTTGCAGTAACAATTCAGACAAACGGATCTGCCTGCTTCCAGTAAAGTTTGCGGGAACTGTTACAAGGGCTCCATATAAGGAGGAATTATGCTCCTTTAAGTTAGCTATAGGAAAGAAATTCTTTACATTAAGAGTGGTGAGGTACTGTAACAGGTTGCCCAGAGAAGTTGTGGATGCCCCATCCCTGGAAGTGTTCAAGGCCAGGTTGGATGAGGCTTTGGGCAACCTGGTGTAGTGGAGGGTTTCCCTGTCCACGGCAGGGGGGTTGGAAATAGATGATCTTTAAGGTCCCTTCCAACCCTAACCATTCTATGATTCTATGATTCCTTTAGGAATTTCCTCTGAAAACTTACTCAAGACAACATAAAGACACAAATACAGTGGGCTATGAAGAAGCTGTGATGCGGGAGAAAGAAAAGCCTCACAGAACGTTAACAGTACTGGCATAATGTTGAAGAGAAAAAGTTATTGCTAATCAGACTCAAGTTTCCTTCTCTTCCCCAAACGATTAAAAATAATTGGCTTTTCCCTTTTATTGATTTGGGAGGATGATAGGACTGTTAAAAGTCCTTAACTAGCCACATGACTAAACCACCTGAGTTGTGTTGTAGATCTGTAAACACCTGATCCCTCAGAGAGCAGCCAGTTATTAGGAAACCCAACTGAAGGTGGGGAGCAAGGAAAAATTTATAATCTTTTTCAATGCCAAGTTTCAACGGGTCTTGTTTTCCTCAAGCCTCATTCTGAAACTTGTCAGAAACTGCCAGTGGTATCAACTAGTGTGAGACAATTGATGCTTTTGCATCTAAAGTCTGAAAAAAAAAATTTAAATACATTTATTATTAAATTAAAAATATTTAAACCGATGTTCTGTCACTAAGCATAACAAAACCAGTCACAATTACACGCTTTTTGCTCTCTGTCTTCTGCGAATTTCATTTTAACATATCTGAACTTCTAGAATGAGAAAGAGAAATACTGTAACTGGCTTAGATCTCACACATTTTGCAACAGTATGGATTAAAATATTGCTTCTAGTTCATAAAACAAAAAAAACCCACAAGAAGACAAGATCTGCTTGTAAATTCAGGGGACACGGCTAAGTGTGTGCTTATCTAGATGACATGCTACTTTGTCTCAACACACAAATGTATGTACCATTTGACTTTGTTTCGAGCACTTTTATGAACTTGCGACAAACATGCGGACAACAACAGACAAGTAGACTCTACCATCTCAAAGGCTCAGAGCTGGCTTCTCCCAGAGAGAATGAGTGAGTTACTAGAGAGGTACTAAAGGTTTGGTCCGTATTCTGATTACGCACACAAAGAAGAGTTAGTCGATCCTCACCTTATCATTAATCAGCAGTTCAATTGGATTATTCCCCCATTCTATGAGGACAATTTCATTAGCCTGCCCAGGAACAGCGTACGAGAACGGAGTGCCGATTCCAGGAGAAGCACTTGATCTCAGCCACAGGCATACGGTAAAAGCATACAGCTCTGGCAGAGTCTTCTTGATCTTCCCATATAAGTAGTTTGTGCGAAGAGGCAGGGAGACTTTGAATTCATCAGGTGACTTAAATGCACTGTTACCTAGAATTAAATTGAGGAAGAGAAAACTTTAACGTTAAACAAAATGTTTTTGTAATTCAGGTTAAGAAACAATACAACCAATATTGAGAATCTTTGGCATTTCAATTGCTTTAGAGCGGTACACAAAAAATTCATACTGAAGTAGTATTACTGAATGTTGATTTTGCAGCACAGGAAAAAAATCATACTAATTACTTAGTTTATATTTCCTGCTCATTTAGAGCAAAAGAATAGATGAAAGACAACTAACAAGAGGTTGTTAAATATTTTCTTTCTTCATTGCTCAGTTCATGGCTGGAGGCCTGCCTATTTCAAACAATTCAAACTGTTTTAAGAGCTATTTACTGTTACTAAACATGGATTCTCTGGTATGCTCATTATCAAAGCATCACAGTGCTTCAAAACCAGCACTTCTTTTCCTACTACTCCCATCTGCACAGGGAGCTAGCAGCAGCATCTCCATTCCACAGATGGCAGGATGAGAAACAGGTTGATGCTCTCATTTTGGGTGGCCAGTCTGAAATAAGAAAAACCTGACTTCCAGAAAGCAGATTTAAATTCAGTAGAACTGATTTCTGTCCCATAGACAAATCAGGAGGAGACTTGAACAAAAGCATAAAGCTGAAGTTTAAAGTGACCCAAAGAAAACTGCAATATAGAGTAATGAACTATGAAAACTTTAGACATTTATTTTAATATAAAAGCAGAAATTATTAGATTTTTTCTATAAGATGTGATAAAAACCAGCAAGATATTCCACAGAGATGTTTATGAAATCGAGAACTCTTAAGTCCAAAACTTTCTGAAGTTGCAATACTCTGTATTACATAGTTAGTGTATACTTCTGATGTAGTTGCTTGCAAGTAATTTCCTATCATTAAGTATTAAGGAGAGAGAAATCCCACATTGTGCCACAAAATAAAATGCCACAGGGCTGTAGTAGAGTGTCATCCTCAACGTTTTAGCAACCTGTTCTTCTGAGTCCCACTCATTTCCTTTACTCACATTCCCAAAACAAATTCAATCCCCTTGCCAAACTTCACACTCCAATCCGAAAGAAGAGCTGCTGTCACAAAAGGTTGCCACAATTCTCATATGTAATCTTTAAATCATTGGCATTCTCTCAGTTCTCATTCTTAGAAGCAACTGAAGTGTTTTGACTGCATTTTTCACAGAATGAGGGGGTGGAAAAAAAAAAAGCTTGTCTGATTTTTGCATCTGTCTTGAGGAACTTATAGACCAAAATCTGAAATATTCTGAGCAAAAAAGAAACCCTGGGGTCTTAGGGCTACTGTTGAGCAACCTCCACTTGGCTGGTACAAGCAACCTCACATATGAAAAACAGACACATTCTCCATTAAGAGCATCAGTCACTCCCGTCTCCAGCAAAGCTAGGAATCATACTCAAGTCCGATCACTATTAGTTGCAGGATCATTCCTCTACCCAGCCTGGCTTTTTAATGCATCATCTACCACTGTCAATGGAGACCACCAGTGAAGGAATTACCAGAAGACTTTGAGAATCACAACAGTTGTACAAACTCCAAACTCTTCTGCCCCACTAGTAACTAAAGGCAACTGTCACAATTACAGAGAAAACCACCCAAAGCTCATAGTGTCACCTTATAAGGTTAGTTTTTTCCTCCGTTTATTTAGTTTCAGGGCAATGAGGAGCTTATGACACTCTAGTGAGTTGTCAGGAAGAGATACTAGACAATATGGCATTTAAAACAAAAGCACTATAGAAATACTATTTTCAAAAAAAGGTCAGATCACTTCAAACGTTGTCTGCATTTAATCTACAAAATTATTAAGTTAATCATTATTACCCTCACTTTGATTTGACAGAGAAACCAAAGGCACAAAGCAGCTAAGCTGTACTGTAATAGAGAGCAAATTACACCACTGAAAGAAAGCCTGTGTCTTGGTTCTTGGCCCAAATCCTTCACTCCCCTGCAGACTCTTAGACAGTCTTCTCTCCCTACACAAAAAATAAAGGTGTGAACAGGCTATTTTTAACCGGACTAAATTACACATTCTTGTTCTCCCACCACTCCCTTTCTCTTTTTGATGACTCGCTGATATGAGTCACATCTTTCAGAGACAAGGACTAGCAATACTTGTCACATAAGGCATTAACAGGCCGCTGATCTCCACAACTTTAGTTGCAGTTTAGGCTTTCTCTTGGCTTTCAGGAAATACTAAATGTCAGTCAGTAGAAGATCGCTTCTTCCTTCTTCCCTTTTCCCCTCCTTCACACTTTTTAAATGAAAAAAACAGATACAATATTACACAAATGGATCCATTAGGCTGCACTTTAAAATTCATGAGATATGTATGTTTGCACCATCTTGAAAGCATGTCCATTAGGCCGCTTTTAAGCGGAGAGCCTATTCACCTTGGAAAATCATTTAAAGATTGAGCAGTGACTCTTTACTGGTACTCTAGTCCCACACAGCCCACTCTGTAGGTGCAAATAGAGTCAATATAGAAAGACAGTTCTGTTCTTTAGCTTATTTCCATGGGCATTTGTGATTCAAACAAACAGACTCTACTCAAGCACGGAGATCACAGTAATAATTAATTTAAGTACCTGAATAAATGACTGGGATTAAGAGAGTGTCCCCCAGCGGCACCATATGTAAGCAAACTCTGAAGGCTATACACTTGATATAGGACACAACTCAAGTATCTGCAGTTAGCCAAAGTCATAACTAGCAACAAAAAGAAAGACCACCAGCAATACTTCCAAAGTTCTGCTATCAGATGCCATTCATTACATCAAGGGCAGTTGTGCTGATTAAATTTAGCCCATATGATTTTCAGCCCAAATAAAGGCTGCTCTACTTAGATGTGTTCTTGACATTATCTAGGTATTTACCTGACACCAATGTCATACTTGCTATTTCCACTGGCCTCCTTGTAGATCTTTCCATCCCACAAAGAGTTTCATCCTAACCACCCACATATGCCAAATTAAGAGACAAGAAGCTGAAGCCATGCAGAGGCCTGTCAAGCAGGAAGCCTATGACAAAAGGAAAAAGTGAATCCAAGCATTTGCACTGTCACCTACTATTTAGTCCTGCACCTTAACCATCTTTCCCCTCAAGGCTCACATTTAGGCTACAACACTAGAAGGAGGGAGTAAACGAAATTAATCAGCACAGGGAAGTGTTTAGGTTCTGTGCAGATTACCTTTTTCTAATTCAGACCCTCTTTCTAGCAATGCATTCAAGGCTGTCTCTGTCTTCTGCCGATGGGCTGACGTCTCATTATGAAGCAAAGACTTTTCATCCTCAAGCTCAGCCACTTTGCTCAGGAGTTGGCGTTCCAGGTCTCCAAGCCTCCGTTGAAGCATCTCTCGAAGGTCATTAGGCAGTGCTGCATAAGACACGTTGGCACGGAGTTGGTGCTTCAGGGAAACGAGAAGAAAAAAAATAACTATGATTTCTAAACCAGAAACTGTGAAATGTGGGTATGTTCCTAATGGAAAAGGATGAAAGCAAGATCACCGAGTTCTCCAGCAAGTACAAAAGAGGCACTGCTTTTTAATGCTTGTCATGTACAGTGCTTTTAACAGCACCGTAGCTAAACAGGTCCTGAAACAAAAGGGCGCTTTTGTTAGAGGCTTCCAGTGTTTCATATGAAGGAGTCTTCATACATCTAAGTTCAATAAAATCAATGTAGGGAGCCAGGTCTGATGCATTTCCATTAATATGGGTACATGTGGGACATAAGTCAATTTTTCTCTACTTACTGCAAGTGACATTGCCAACACAAGTAAACAGAAAAACTATTATTTCTCTTTAAATAAAAAACTAAACTACTTTAAAAGCAAGTTTACCAAATGAAAGTTTCCTTAGTTTTTATTTGCAGAGTAAGGACAGCAGGAGGACACACATATAGCTCTCAGAGTGTGGAAAGCAAAACAACATCCAGCACGATTCCCGTGGGAATACTCTCTATAAAACGTTTCCATGAGTGCTACTCAACCATAGGCACTGTCCGAAGGCTCATGGAAATGGCTCATGGACCAAATCCCCTTTCTATTCACAGGCATACAAACCCAAGTTCTTTTTATTCTATGTCAGCTCTAAATACATCATCTTATCTTCACAATCTGCCCAACACAATCTCCTCGTTACCACTGGTCTGTTCAGCACCATATGCCAAGGTCTTACTGCCCAAGATGTCAGCTTTATACCTCAAACCCCATGAAGTCACATTCCCAGAAAGAGAGATTTAGTCATATTAATACAGAATCTAAGCTGGTGACAAGCATGAAAACCATAATCTCCCCCATGCAGTGGGGAACACATTCACAGAGGAGCCCTTCTGTTTTTTTACCATTAGAGCAAGCAGACAAATAATGGAGAAAACAAGACAAGCCAACCAAGCAGCTCACTTGCAGGAGCTGGCCAGTTTGGAATGATCTCGCTAAGGACGAAGCGCGCTGGTCGTGCCCGCTCGGCAGCCCAGCGCCGCCCTTACACGTTGAGTCGCTCCAAGTTCTACAGGAGCGGGCAGGGCGGCCGCCCGGCCCCACGCCCGGCCCTACCTCCAGGCTCTCCAAAAAAAATGGGGCGGCTCAGCTGGTCGATGCCCTGCGCCGGGTCCCGCGGCAGGTCGCCCATCGTGTCCTTGCCCTTGCCCAGCTCCTTCTTCCACGTCCCCGCGGCGGACTTGCCGTCGGCATTCTCGCAGCGGCTCAGCTTGCCGGTCAGCTCCCGGATGGCGTCCCGCTGGCTCCCGATGGTCTCCTTCTGCTGCAGGACGGTCTCCCGCAGCTGCAGCACCGTGGCTTTCAGCTCCTCCTCGGGGGGCAGCGCGCCGCCCTGCATGGGCACCGGGGGCAGCGGGCAGCCCGCGCC